AAAATATATAATTATTCAACATGATACAATGATACCTACCCTACAGATAGTAAAGTTATCAAAATGAGTCGGTAAATTAATGATTAATATTTATTGTACTGTCTATCTCTGTTTTATGATGATTTTTTGATTTAAAAAAAATTAAAACAATATAGTATTTTGTCGAAGGTACTTTTTTTAATTGATATTCAGGACAGCTGGTATTAACTACTTATTCGCCTAGGGCATCCCTCACCCCCAGTGGTACAACGGTATGTCTGCAGACTTACAACGCTAGAAACCGGGTTTCGATACCCGTGGTGGGCAGAGTACAGACAGCCCATTGTGTAGCTTTGTGCTTATTCCAAATAAACAAACTCCTTGAGCAACATAAAGATTATTTTATATGACTACATTTTTTCTTCGCTTTATGAATCAGAAAGACTGTTTGAAATTTTTTACGTAGTATTTCGGTTTTATATTTTGTCGTTAAGCCTAAAGCTACACGATGAGCTATCCGCCCACTGAGGATATAGCAACCCGATTTTTTTAGTGTTATAAGCCCTCAGACATCTTACTTGTTAAATGGACGAAAAAATAATATCTATTTATTTATCTACAGTTGCTATGTCGTATTTATGATAGGTTTTGGTGATGCCACATTGGCAAACTTGAGGGGTTATAACTCTAAAATTCAAAGCTCGATCCACGCGGCGGATACAGATCAGATAGCTTATTGTATGGAGATTTGGCTTTAATTTATTGACTGTTTCTTGGGAGGGATGACGTCTCGGCTTTGACCTGAAAAAGGCCATTTTACAGAAACCGAGAGGAGCATTCTATAAAAATCCATATCTCTACTATATTTACACAGTCTGAAATGCCCTTGATATAACAGTTGATAATGAAAATTCGCGTTGAGACATACAAACGAATTATGAATTATAATAGCTATATTATGGCATTGAATGTGGTATCCTTTGAAAGATAATTTACCTACATTTGTCATCGAATGTCCAATTCCAAAAAATATTTCCAAGTTCTATTGCGATACCGACTTAAAACTATCGTGTTATAATTCTTGTCTCCTCCCTATGGAGGGTTACTAATTTCCTTTTTTTTCATATGTACTAGGTTTTTTGCATTTAGTTTGAGCTTAAATCATATGTTGTTCTTATTTGTTGAATTTTGCGCAAAGATATTCGAGTGATTTCCGTGCCAACTGTCCATACGTTTAAAATGGTAGACTATAGAGGTCCCCAGTGGCACAGCGGTATGTCTGTGGACTTAAAACGCTAGAAACCGGGTTTCG